AAACTCATCCTGGCCCACAAGCAGTGCTACAAAGGTACTCAACTTGCAGATCCAACCCTTCTCTCGTCCTTTTATCCTCCTGGATTTCCAAATCCAGGGAAACCTAGCCACCATGTGTTAAAAGCAGAAATAACAACAAAATGGAGACATAGTCTCCTTGAATTTACAGACCAACCCATTTCCTGAGGGTACATTCGTTACCTGCCTTCCCCACTATCTGTAACCATTTAAAATGCAGACTGATTGGTCAGAAGTAGGTTGAAGTTATATTTGAGACTTTAAAGGACTTTATTCCCTCGAGTTCTTAAATATTCCATACCCATTATTCAGACAATTTTTTGGAATGATCATTATTTCAATTCATAGCTTTTATACTTAATATTTGTAAATGAATTGTGTCTGTTGATTTTTTTTTTGAGGTTTATTCCACTGATCTGAAAATTAATATGAGAGTCATAGAATCATACAGCATGGAAACAGACCCTTCGGTCCAACCAGTCCATGCCGACCATTTTCCAAAATGAAACTTGTCTCACTTGCCTGCACTTTGTCCATATCCCACCAAATATTTCTTATTCATGTACTCATCCAAACGTCTTCTAAATATTGTAATTGGACCAACATTCACCACTTCCTCTGGACATTCATAAATTTTTCTCCTCTCACTTTAAAAATATGCTCCCTAGTCTTGAAATCCCCACCCTAGGGAAAAGAGACCTGCCATTCACCTTATCTTTACCCCTCATGATTTGGTAAACCTCTATAATGTCACCCCTTAACCTCCTTTGCTCCAATGAACAAAGTCCCAGCCTATCCAGCCTCTCACCATAACTCAAACCTCCATTCCCTGAAACATCCTGCTAAGTCACTTCTGAACCCTCTCCTGCTTAATAATATCCTTCCTATAACAAGGCAACCAGAAATGTACATACTATTCCAAAAGAGGCCTCACAAATGCCCTGTACAATCTCAAAGTAATGTTCTAACTCCTATATTCAAAGGTCTGAGCAATGAAGGCAAGCATGCTAAATGCCTTTTTAACCACCCTACCTATACGTGATACGAACTTCAAAAATATTCTGATCAATCTTTAATGTTCTGCCGCTTCTGAAGAAAGTCAAGAGAGGAACAAACACTGTTAGTGTAAAGTTCTTAAAAGTTACTAAGTTCAGATTCCAGACAGGTACCTCTGAAGAGAGACTGAAAGGTATGTGCCCAGACATTTTAGAGTTTAGAAGAATGAGAGGTGATTGTTAATTGGTCAGTAATCATCTGGCAAAGTAGGAAACAGGATTGCTGGTCTATCTTCCACATTTGTTCATTAATGTAGATTGCTTTCCTCTTTGAGGGATCAGCTCTTTTCTCCCCCCCAGGTGGAAACTGCTTCTGTTTTCTAAAAAAAATGAACCCAACTATGGAAAACACCATTTTTTCAATCAATTTGTTCAGACATGCTATGACACACTTCCAAATAGACGGGACTTGAGCCCACATCTTCTGGCTCTAAGGTAGGGGTCACTACCATTGTCCCAAAACTGCACCACTGCTGGTATTATTCAAAAATTGGCCACAAGAATGGAGACAGCAACATGCATTCATTGTCCACTAAAAATCAGATTCCCTTGCATAGATTTAGCTGTGAAGTGTGACCTAAAGAAATACATTTGCAGTTTGGATATCAACAGCAAGGTGGCCACCACAATTATCGATGGCATTTTCTTACATTAAACCAGAGTACTTTCACATACTTTGGAAAATGAGTGGGTTCCTCACTGAACATTTGTCAGATATGCTGTATTAATAGGAGTCTAAGGAGGCTTATCAATAGAACTGAACACCAGAGGTCATTCAGAATCGATTCTTGAACAGTCCTCTTGCAGCAGACATTTCCGTGTGGGTACGTCCATGTAGTGGTTGGCTCAAAAATGATATCTTCAAGCCAAACCGTTGAGGGTTAATCATTAAGGGTTAATTGAACATGACAATGAGCAATTGGAGACAAGTGGAAGATTACTGGCCTAGTGCAAAAACAGCTCACTTTGGCCGTTGGGTAGCTGCATGACCGTGATTGCCTATGGGAACCATTCTTTTATGTAGTTGACAATGGGGTCACCTGGATGATTATGTTCAACTTATTGCCTGCACGTTGGAGAATAGTACGAATATCAGAGACTCTGTCACACTCATCAGACTTCACCTCGGACAGGGATCACTAACAGTGCCAGGAACCTCGAGTTCTCCAGACCAGCCATTGCAAAGTGGAATCCTTGACGGGCAGAATGCAGTGAATTTTTTTCTGAAGAAGGGTCCAGGCCCGAAACGTCGGCCTTCCTGCTCCTCTGATGCTGCTTGGCCTGTTGTGTTCATCCAGCTCTGCACCTTGTTATCTCAGATTCTCCAGCATCTGCAGTTACTGCTATCTCTGCAGTGATACTTGTTAGTTCACTGATAAATGTTTGCTCATAAATGTGTTAACTCAGACCACCTAACTTGTAGAGGCTACATAAATATATATTCCGTAGTTTAAGTGTACAGATTCACTCATTAGTTTGTACATGTATATATTAAGTAGATTAAATTTGCTTTGAAATCAAAGCATACTTACTTCATGTAATCATTTTGATCAGACCTTAAAGAACCTGTGAAGTACTTTCAGTGTAACAAGACAGTCCAGCACCAGTTACGACATTGAGATAGGGAGCAGGAACGCATAATTTTCCTTGATGCCCAAGGGAATGCACATGTCAATTCTCATGCATCTTCTCATTTGAGGTCAGCAATCTGGATGCAGACTGAGAGTACAGACTATGAACCTGCTGGTCTGCTCTGCATTGGATGATCACATGCAGACTTATTCAAATAAAACCATGGCAATCCTCTAAAGATACTGATAATAGTGAAAGACGTTTCCATTGTGTTTTCTATGCTTCGAGTAGCAAATGGTGAACAGATGAAATCTGCTGGCAATTACCTGTGTCACTGTTTACAGCATAAAATATGGTTGAATGTTATTAACCAAAACAAAACACATGTTTTAAATGACCTGAAGCATGGCTGCATTCTCATTTACACTGCAGTCCTCTCTTTTGCCTCCATTAAGCACCATTAGTCTCAAGATAGTAGGAGAAATATTGTTAAGATTGGTTTACTATGTTCGATAGAAGTAATATGCTGAGTTATACAAAATTAAATTTTGAAATAGATTTCCTATCTTGAGCAACTTTCCAGGAGTTCTAAGCATTTTTCAGTTAGTTATACTCTCTACAATTCAGTTTAAAGATGATATGCTTTTCAAAGCCAATGAAACAAATGTTTTTGTATATTGGTCAGCTCTATATTTTCTGATGAATTGTGACGACCTTTGATGCTTTCTTTGAGTTGCCAAGCTCATTTCTCTCTCCTTCGCTAAGCAACAGCACTTGACCCATTTTGACCACAACAAAACCCTGCCATTAAGTATGAACCAACAGCACTCCAGAAGTCATTTAATGGAAAAATGAAATTGCATGAATTTGAATCGAATGGCAAGGACTCAATATTGACACATTGTAGTGCAAAAAGCAAAACACTGTGGATGATCATAACCTATAAGAAAATACTCAGTGAATTGGACAGCATGTGTGGACAGAGAAACAAAACTAATGTTCATGTCTATGTTGTGATGAAAGCCCACCAATGTGAAATGTTAATTCATGTTCTCTCTCCGCAGCTGCTGCTTGGTCTGAGTATTTCTAACATTTTCTTTAAATAACAATGCTAAGTGTTGATTGTAATATTTTATAGTTTTACATATGCTTTGTTTACATTTTGAAGCTATTTGTTTTTGCTGAAATGAAACCTTCAATTGAGTTATGAAGCCAGTTTGTATCGAAAATAAGACAATGATTAACCTGCCGCATGACCAAAAAAAACAGGCAACTTCACAACGATCAATACTGGATAGTGAATGTTAATGAACGTACATTGAACAAGTCTCCCTTGTGTTAACCTTGGATCACATGGTGCTTTCACTAAATATGACATTATTATGAGACAAAACTTGGAAACAAAGTTATCATATTATCAAATGGGTACTTTGGAATCCATGTTCAGACAAGATAGCAAAGTAACAATAACTACAGCATTGATTGCAACTTGTACCCAGTGTTTCTTAAAACTCTTGGCGTTTGTGGAAAAGATGAAATGAGATACCTTTGGCTGAGCCATATTTGCCTGCAGGCAATGTGAAATTGGGTTACATACCGTGATGGGTTTTCTTGGGTCTTATTCATTGAAAATACATGTCTGGGAATGGCTGGTTGACTCGAGATGGTTTCACGGCTATTACTCCTGACACCACAGCCAATGGGAAAGTTTGGAGCCCGAAGCACGTGTTTGAAAATCAGCTGGTCAAATCAGAAGCACTGCACATGCTTAGCTTCTGAAAACCACTCTGCTCTTTGGGGTTGGAATCGGTCCTGGAGTTTTGACATCCAGTCATCCCTGGGCCAAAAGTAATACAAGAGTAATAGGCTCTATATCAGCGCTAATATTTGCTCTGGTTGTGAGCTAACCTGGAAGAAACAGTCTTATAGTACAAAGCAGCACCAGCTGCAGTGCAAAAGCAGCTGCTGGAAGAGCCTGCCAGAAATAAAAACCGACGGCAGTGATTAAAACAGACTGACAAGCTACCAAGGTGAAATCCAAAGACCAAATGAGTAAAATCATTCCAATCTTTTTGCCTGAGATGTTGCCTCAGCATGCCTTTTGAGTGGCTGCATAAAAAAATCTTAAAAGCTCTGCAAATGCAAACAATCTTGCGTGTTTTATCACCCAGATTAATTCTTCTGTACAAATTTACATTTTAGTCAAATCTCATAGACCCTGGTGTCTTCTGCCAAATGAGTTTTGTTTGAATTGAAAGTACACACTACCAAACCGTGCTACTGGTTCAAGTGCTTTTGGGGTTTCGATTCTCTCTCTTGCTTGAACTAGGTCAAAATACAATACGAAGAACCCACCTGTTCCAAAAGGTGGCTCCTCTCCCAGCAACAGCCTGCGCCTTTTAGCATGAATTTTGCCTTGGTAATGTGACTGTGCCACCACTGCAGAGGTAAATGACATATTACACAGTGTGCAGCATTTGTTCTTGTCCACATCTCCATCACCACTTCCCTGCACAAAGGAAAGAAGACAAATATGTCAGTTGCTCCAATATCTACCCACTGCCCCCTCCCCATCTACTCACTAATTTTCCTTAAATAAAGAAAATTGGAGAAATAGTTAAAAAATTTTTGATGTTTGTCACAAATACTTCAAGCTTCTAAAATCCCAGATGATTTGTTTTGATTCCCAGATTGAGGATTAGTGAGAAGTTAAATTATAATGATTTCATTGTGGTTCAGTCCATAGTTTTAAAAAAGAAATACATCAATGATACTCCTGTCATAGGAATAACCAATCAGAAAGGGACAAGACAGAGCAGTGACCACGTACTGTTCCCCAACCTTCAGTCGGAGCTGTTTTCTAAACTCCAACTTTTAACTTTTATATTTTCTGTCATTTCACATTCCTTCCTTTCAAATACTCACTCAAATTTGTTTTAAACTGTTTGCTTCATTGGTCACTCAAAAGAACCTAATAACCCCATATGTGAAAAAAGTCCTTTTCCTAATGCTTTCATTCTTCAATAGATAATTATAAGTCTCAACCTTCTTGTTCTCAATTTGTTGACTGTGGAAGGAAACATTTACTGCTGTTCAAGTCCTTGATATTTTTGAAAAACTTTGCTATGACATCTGTTCCAATGTAAAAGGCCCATTTTTCCAGACTTCGTTCACATCAGTTAGTTTCAACCTGGAAGATTATCAGAATATGTAGGAGGAGAATGGAACTCTCATCAGAATGGTGCAAAGTTGCCTCTCAAGGATGTTGATGTAAAGAATGAGGGAAATGGAAAGGAAGCACTGGAAACTCAGCACTGTGTCACAAATTTGACAATAGTCAGCGAAACTGCGGGATGGAAATCAACAACTAATTAAAGTAGCTGCGGTGCAAAGAAGTATCACGTCATGGTGCATGGAATTGGTGTTTTCATATCACACCGCAGAACAGCATAGATTGTTTGCTGTGATTCAGGAACAGTGAGCTCTTGAAGTAGCACAATTCCCTTCAGTGAACATGAATTTATGAGATTTTGGATCAAGTCTTGCACTCTCCTAATCCTCAGATTTTAGACCGATATTACCACGAGGGGAAAAATTATCACTGAGTGTTGCATTTCCATAAGTGGAAACCAAAGGCTAGGCTAAGAAATGTGATAATGGAGGGACACCTAAATTTTACGTGACTTGAAGATTACTTAAATACTGCAAACGTGATATTGATCTCTGCAGCCCATTGCACTTGCATAGACATGATTAAAAAATTAGACATGATTTTCTCAGAATGAGAAGGGAACTGGGATCAAAGATGATCCCCTTACAGAAAGATAAAACCTGTGAGTTTAAATTTTATTCCAGCACAAGTTTGTTACAAACTTGTGATTTCATTGCAAATTACTTTCTAAACACACAACTTACGACCCTGCACATGAATTTACTGGAAATGATCAGAACTTTCATTCAAGCTCCCACTGAGGCTGTGACTCTAATCAGGTAAGATGACTGGTCCACCCTTCGTTTCTTAAAAAAAAATTCTTATCAAGTCTGTCTTTCAGAAACAGCAAGTCTATTAGCAATGCAAATTGCAGGGATTTCTGGGGCTAAACTCCCCGATAGAGTCTGTGTGAAGGGGGCTGGCCGACAACTCACTCAACAACTCTTCAAGTGAGATGTGAATTATGGGGTGGAGGTCCAGACTTCTGGTGGTTTCAAAAGAACACAGACAGGAATTTTCTCCCAGGACTCGTGTAATTAGCAGATCAATCAAACAGCTATTGCAATGTTTGCCAGTACATGAGGTTCACCATGACATCCACTTAAAGATAACGGAGTGCTGCTAACTGGAAGTCATACCAAATACCAATCAAATGTGTCTGATTCACAAATTATTCTGTTTTCATTATAACTCTGGTTGAATTGTCCAGCACCAAACCTCAAAACAAAAACTACAGATGCTGCCAGAACTGCTGAGAGTCTCCAACACTCTGTTTATTACTGAAATTCAAAAGATGGCTGTCTCAATACTCTATTTATATGGGCAATAGCAGCTGAAATTTTAAGTCAACTGGCAGTTCTGTGAGACCAAGATCAGCGAAAGACAACTGAGCAACTGAACTTGAAAGGAAGACCACAAGTCATGGGAACAGAAGTAGGACATTCAGCCCACTGTGTCTGCTCCACTCTTCAATGATACAGTGGCTGATACGATAATCCTCAATTCCATTTTGCTGCCTTTTCCCCATGATCCTTGATTCCCTGATTGATTAAAAATCTTCCTGTCAGAAACTTGAATATACTTATCAACGCAGTTTCAAAGCCCTCTCTGGTAAAGGCCCTCTGAGAGAAGAAATTCCACCTCATGTCTCTCTTAAATGTGTGACCCCTCATTCCGAGATTATGCCCTCCTAGAGTCTCCCACAGAGGGAAACAACCATTTGGCATCTCAAATCTGAATGGAAAAAGTTAAATAAAAAGAATAATACAATATTTGTTGAATGCCACTGTATTTCCACGAAATCAACTTACAAGGAGATGCAGGATGAAAGGTGTTGGTTTGTTGGTGATTCCTGTTGTCAGTAAGATGGAGTAGTCAAATGGAAATTCTGAACAGCACTTTAAAATTTGATTTAAGGGCCACTGAGGAATTTATTTTTAGACAAGAATACAAATTTTCAAACTTCGCATATGGGTACATTTTAAGAGAGTTGACAAAGATCTGGTGACTAACAAAACTCCAGATGTAATATGAGCTGGTTCTGAATCACCTCCTAAACATGATACTGAAATGCCACTTGCCAAGCGCCATCAAATCACCACAGCAACAAGACAAAAGGAAATGCATTAAGGTTTAGCCAAAAGATTTCCTCTGTGACACTTGTGGGCGGACACTCAATATTTCCTCTGTCTGCTTTTTTAATAGGCCAAGGATCTGAAGACAGCAGTGTTTAATCGAAATACAAACACTCGATATTTACTTCTTTGGAGTGTCGGGAATGGGAAGAGGGTGATTGGAATGAGGGCCAAGTCTATCTCATTGACTATGATATCCTTGATTAGGTTTGTTAACCTCGGCCAATCAGAGAGCCCTGGCTGACAGATATAAGCAGGAGATTCAGAGAGTCTCCTGATTCTAGGGACTGGCTCTGATCAAGCCAGTCAGAGTCCATGTACAGTGCAAGAGTAAATAAACAGTGACTTGGTGATGGGATACCAGCCTCTGTGCAGTTATTTCAGGGGGCACCCTCTGCAGTAAGGGGTTCACTCACACAGTTCCCGGACCTACAGGCCCTTCCAATCTGAACGGATGAGGTTTATGGGCAGAGTGCAGAAGACCATTCAAACCCTCAGCACTTTTGCATTTTTGTATGTTAGAAGCAATCAGGTCGATTCCAAGTTTGACCTCTGAAGATGAAATGCAGGATCACCAAGGATGGACATGTACCAGAGACAGAGACAAAGTGTGGGAGGCTGAGGCCAGAGAAGACTCCTCAAGGAGGGACACAGTCACTGGCAAGGATGGAAATGAAAGAGGAGGGCTCTTGAGGCACAGTGATAATTTCCCTAACTCTGAGCCAGAAAGTTTGGTTTCAAACCTCACTTGCTCCAGAGATATTTGAACAGCTGACTGACAATATGTAGCAATGCAGTTGGTGGAAGGGGCCGGAAAGTTGGCGGGGTGGGGTGGGTTGGTGGCGGGGGAATGTATGGTGGTGCCAAATGTTAGGACTAGTGGAAGAGGGCTGAACCACGTAGATTTGAACAGCAGTTTTTACGAGATGTATGAGAAAGCCCAGGAGGGGGTTACATGGGTAACCCACTGCTTGGTTTCAGACTGAGCTGACTACATTGGCAAGATGGTGCCAATTTTCATTTGATTTGATTTATTATTGTCTTATGTACCTAAGTGCAGTGAAAAGTTTTATTTTGCTTGCAGTACAGGTAGATCATACCATACAAACATCATCGGGTGATTGAACACAACGGTGATTGAATGAGGAATACAAAGTTATGGCTGCAAAGAAGGTGCATAAAAGGCAAAATCAACGTGACATTTGAAATTTGAGAGATCCATTCAGAAGTCTAAGAACAGCTTTTGTATCTTCTGCCTGAACGTAACAGACTGGAAGAGATTATAACCAGGGTGGGAGGGGTCTTTGATGATGTTGGCTGCCTTTCTGAGGCAGCGAGAAGTGTAGATGGAGTCAATGGATGTAAGGTTAGCTTGCATGATGGACTGGGATGTGTTCACAATTCTCTGTAGTTTCTTCTGGTCCTGGGCACAGCAGTTGCCATACCAAGCCATGATCCATCCAGATGGAATACTTTCTATGGTGCATCAACAAAAGGTGGTGAGAGTTCTAAGAGACATGCTTAACTTGCTTAGCCGCCTTCTTCTGAGGAAGAAGAGCCGGTCTTGTGCCTTCATGACTGTCACATCAACATAACAGGACAGATTGATGGTGATAGATCTCCGATGCATTCTTGATTAGTTAGTTTTTGGTCAGTACACTATGATGGTTAATGCAACCCCAATGGGCAAGTGACAGGGAACACAGGTGGGTGCTTCCTCACTGTACAGGGTCAGGATATGGAATAGTCACACAGCAAGGGATCACAGGGCTGCGCACAGCATGGAACTGCACCCCAATGTTGATCAGCATCCATCAGGAGTGGAAATCTGCAAACTGTTATGAAATTAAAAAGGGAGTGGGTGGGTGAATTTCATAACACCTTTTATCAATCTGAGTCGTTGGTTATTGTGCTTTAGAATTTAGCAGCATAGAAGAGCTTAAGACAAACAGAGAGAGAGAATGCCAGTGACACTAAACATTTGTTGAACAGGCAAAAATTTCATTCAAGCTGCTTATCACACAGCAGGGGCAGCTGTAGTATTACGAAGCATATGGTTTTGGTTACAAATCACTTATCTATAAAGGATGCAGCAGTCATGGAAATAAAAACTACGGAAATGAACAGGTTTTAGCGCAGTGGGATTGCATACAGTTGCAAGAA